AAAAGATAGCTTCTTATGAATAGAAACATTGCGATAGTGGTATCCTCTTAGAGAGAAAAGAACTTCTTATGGACAGAAAAGATTGAGATGTTTGTTTTTAGTAGAGAAATAGTTCCCATGGAGATTGTTAGTAATGGTTGCCAGAAGTAAAGAGAAAAAAGGAATAGTTGTTTAAAAAGGTTTGCACTATGGGTTTTGTCGAGGGTTAGAGAGGTAATTCTATGTTCTAAAATCTATGATATAATTTTATCGTGCCCGTGGATGTAGCCCTTCTAGGGCCAAAAATCAACATGTGAGGACTACTGCTTCCACGGACAACAAGTGGTATAACAATAAAGATTTCAAATGCAAGGTTCCACATAGAAAAATTTGATGGCAAATACTATTTTTCTACAAGAATGATGAAGACATTTATGTGGAAAAAGATGAAGAATTTTTAAAGTTATCCAATGGACGTTGGCACAGACAATTTTGATATTAAGGTGGAGATGGATTTAGTGCTATCCAAAATTACCCACATAATGAAATCCCATTTTATGTAACTCGAGACTACACTAAGATGGACTACACTTCGTTCGCTGGTAAATACGGATTGATATTATATTTGATAAGTTTACTTAAAAAAATAGAAATCCAAAAATATTAAGACTCTTGGATATATCTCTTGGTATTGAGATATATGTAACATCTATAGGAAGTTGCATATTTAATGTGGCTTTTTAATCTTATATATGGGATGAAAGTGCAGAGAATTAATATGCTCTATTTTGGTCATCATATGGGAATGAAGGTTTTCTCTAGAGAGAGACAGGGGCAGGGCCTCTTGTGCATGAGATGCAAGGTTTCCTCTTAAAGAAAAGAGAATTTATTATGGATAGAAATATTGCGACAGTGCCTTTTGTAGACTCTGAAGGTTTCCTCTTAGTGAGAAGATAATTTATTATGGATAAAAATATTGCGATAGTGCTTCTTGTAGACTCTAAAGATTGAGAGGTTTGTTTCTGGTAGATAAGTAGTTTCCATAGAGATTTTGGGTGGTTCACCTTTTAGTTAGAGAGAAAGTCAGTTTTCCGTTGCTCTTGCGCTCTCATGTCTCTATCTGGTGTTGTTGGGAAAGAAGGGAGAGTAGTTTAAAAATGTTTACCCAACTGGGTTTTGTCGAGGGTTAGAGAGGAAACTCTATGTCCCAAAATCTATGATGTAATTTTCATTGGTATAAATGGATTTCAATTTGTCATGCCCATGGATGTAGCTCTTTTGGGCCGAACGACGAAAATCTTTGTGTTCTTATGATATATGTTTCATACTTTATTTCTCTCACTTTATTTGCCAAAAATCAACCCGTCGGGATTAAACCTTTCACACACAACATATAGGTCTACTTGATTTGAACAATTTTAAAGTCTAAATCCTATAACTAGAGATGAAAATAGTTTCTCAAGCCATTCCTAAGAAGTTTTCACACCAACATTACATTTATGATAAAATTTATAGGTACGGCTTAATTGGATTATTTAATATTGCAATCTTATGCAAAACACACCCTTTTTTAATATCTATTGTTTCAAATTTGAAATTTGGAACAAGTAGGGCCAAAGCCAAATCATCCAATTGCCTGTTACTATTCATTTATTCAAATCTGAATAGGTATTTTTTTAAAAGAAAAATATGATGAGGTACTTTAGTAGAATGATCTTATTTAACCATTTTAATGATTTTTTTCGAAGTGATTTGACCATTTACAAAATGATTATTTTCAGTTATTCTACTTTGTAATCAATCTCTGAAACAGAATGACACAGGTTTCACTTCGAGATGGTAGGCAACAATCAACGCCTTGCGGGTACGTCTTCTTTAACAAACATACAAAGCTTTTACTTAGATTAGCTAACAGAGGGAAAGTATTATATGCTCGCATTAGTGTTCCTACATTTTGCTAGCCCCTTCTCAACCGTTAGATGTCAGTAATCGATAGTTGGGATTGCTACTTTTCCACTCAAAGTATTCCAGTGTAATAGTATATGAATGGTCAAAAAATCAAACCGGTCTTTAACCGTCCTAACCTGGCAAGTGCTGATAGGACAAAAAAAGTGCTTTTTTAAAAAATAAAAAATAAAACATAAAATTTAAAAATATGAAAAAGATATTTAAAGCATGATTAAACAAAGCACATCCTAATGAAATTGAAAATTAGTGAAAGAATGGACTTTAAAAAATCAATTTGTGCTTAAGAGTATTTTTTAATTTTTTTAAAAAAGATGGGAAAATGTAAATATAAGCATTCATGACTTTCTAATATTTGCCAAAATGATAAAAACATTCAAAGACGCATTACAAACAAATTCCTTATTTTATGGGATTTTATATATTTATTTTTGATTTTTTTTTTTTTAAATATCCAACCAGATCACCAAAATCAACTAAAACCGGAACCAACCAGTGCCCGGTTCCTAGTTGAACCGACCGATATTGTGAACACTTGAGTGGAGGAAGGACACAACCCGACTATTAGTTCTTGATATATGACCGTTCGGGCAGTGCTTGTAAGCTATAGGAAAACCAAATACTAGCATCGTATACAAAACCTACTAAAGAAACAGAATGGGGAGTATTTCATACACATTCATCTATGGAATGTCATGCACCATAGAAACATCAGCCGTCCATTATCGAGGACAGACAACGGCGATTAACTATAGGGACATGACATTCATCCGGGTATGGTATATCCGCAACTGTCAACCACAAGGAATGGACGGTGATGCACTTAATGCCATATTTCAATCTTCTCTTTTCGGTTTGCAAGCCAAAATGACTATAATACCTCATGGGTAATTTCATGGCTCACATAAATAACCTCTAGAGATATTTAAAGTTTTGTTTTAAAATATTTAACTTAGGTTAGATACATATGATCATCCTAAAACTAATATTACCCCCCCCCCCCCCCCCCTCCCCCCCTCCTCCTTCTCTATTTTTGAGATGGATTTTAAGATTCAATTTTTAAAGACAGATAATATTTAATATGGAGATTATAAATATGAATAAATAAATAAACTTTAAAAACTAAAAATAATATTTCTAGTACAAAAACATTTGGATCATTAGTTGTTGCCATTGTTTTTAGATGGAACACCTATTTGTATCCATCTTTAAGATGGATGCTTTACACTTTCTGGACCATATATAGAAATGCGGTCCAACCCGCATGAAACAATTTTCAAGAAAAAAAAACCACAAAAAAAAAGGTTCGCGTCTCGATTGAATGAGGGACTCAAGCTAAAAGAGATCTGGTTCTGGTTTGACTTGGCTGGGTCTGATTCAAACTTGTTATTCTTTTACTATGATTTTAATAAAAATAAAAACTATATAATAAACCTAAATGCAAAGAAAATTTATTATTTTGTCTTTTGAATTGGTAGGAAAGAAGAGATGCGATGTATGAAAAGGAGTGATCTTATGGAAACTCTAGCATATGAGTTACCACCCGGAACCATCCGCTTTAATTGCAGAGCAATCGGTGTCGAGATTTCTCCAAGTTCTGATTCCATTCTTCACCTAGATGATGGCACAACAATAAGATCAAGGGTAATTTTCAAATAAAAAGGTTACTATTTCACCACGATATTAGTTATGGAAAAGCATAGAATGAGACTATTTACCTTTGGCAATTAATCCTGACAATTGGGTGTGAAATTGGGTGGTAACATTTATCATTGATCAAGCTCAAACTTCAAAAGAAATTTTTTCAAAAATTGTAGCATACTAAGCTATCAAATTTCACATCCAATGGTTGTAAGTAATTGTGACCACCTTGTATCAAAAATAAATGGTCTCATTGTGTACAATCTCATTACTCTAGTAACGAATTACTTATGAGGATACTTTGGATTGAAATTTTAGGATCCATGTTGAAATCATTAAATGAGTAATTAACAAGAAAATTTTGAAATTGCGTTTCCAAGCACTTAAATCTAACTGTCCAGAAATCAGGGAGTCTTTGTTCGATCCTAGCTTAAGTTGTTCAGTTATTCAAGCACATATAAAGCCTTCTTTTCATTCTTTTTGTTTTCTGAAGGGTGATCCCATGAGGAAAATAAACCCCAAAATTTGGGGTCCTAAAAGTACTTCTATCTGAGATTTTTATCTGGAGCAGTAAATGGACTCTATGCTCCTAGGGAGCATTTTTCTTTTTTTTTTTATTTGAAAGATAAACATTATGTATGCAAAAATATAAGCCTCCCTTAAAGAGAAGCCATACACTCTAGATCTCTTACTAGGAACTAGATCACACACTTAGTTCTCAGTAACTACATTTCTTGAAAAAGGAGCAGTTTCTATATGGTGTCAACCACACCTCTAAATATTGCTAATCGATGCAACTTTGGTGCTGAAAGCACTTACGATGACCTCGACATCTGTTTTCAACCCTGATTATAAAATTTAAATCTCCAAAAAGAAAGTAGATCGAGCAGATCTATAAGAATTTTGAAAATTTGAAAGTGGATGGCCTGGATAATGTATGACAATGTATACTATTTTAGGAATTTAAATTCTTTTTCTTTTTATATCCAAACATCTTAGGTCCCAGATGATCAAATGTAGGTCAGAACAACCTTTTCGGGTGGATCTGTGGTGCACCTAAAATCTATATCATAAGGTTGACATCTTAAATAAAATTTTTGCTTTTGAAAAAGATGTCTATACCTACTACAATTTGCGAAGATTCAGCCCCGTGTTGCACCTATTCATGTAAAAAATGGATAAAACACCAAAAAAAAGCCCATCGAGATAGATATACAATATTCCCTTCAAAAGATATTTCTCTATATAACCTTCTTGAGTTTTCATGTAATTTCTTTTTTAAGGTTGTATATAACAATACTACTTATCTTTAATACAATGATATTACAATCACTCATAGTTATCATATGTCAAATCCAAAAAATATGGAGGCTTCACAAGGTTTAAAAAAAAAAAAATTAAAACTTTATACAGACATTTTCAAACCACTGAATTTCAAATCTAACTTAATAGAATTATTGTGACCTCTTTATATCATATACATCTCTACATTTAAATCATTGCCTTCTCTCTCCTTAGACAGGTTGTAGTCGGTTGCGAAGGTGTCAGTTCCATAATTGCGAAGGCATTGGGAATGGAGGCTCCAAGGATTGATTCCCGAATAGGGATTAGGGGGCTTACTACTTATGCAGGAGATGGACACAATTTTGAGAACCAAAATTTCCTATTTAGGACTGATAAAATTGTATTTGGGAGGCTTCCAATCAACCACAACTTGGTCTACTGGTTCATGAGCCCCATTAGGGTTCCTCAAGGTAATGAATTTGCAATTAGATGTTTTTAATATTAAAGAAAAAGGGGAAAAATGAAAAAGTATCAATATCACCTAAACTATCAAATATTAAATATTTTATCTATTTATCAAAATACTGCTGACGTTCAACTATTATGACTCATGATTAGTGTCCTTTGCTGTGTATATTGAAATTAATTTTTTTTAAAAAAAGGTAAAATATCAAATAGTTAGTCAAACATTTTAATAAATCTTCAAAAAAAAAAAAAAAACCCATATAAGATAGGGCAAGAATAAGATAATTATGTTGGATTGATAGAAGCTTTATTATGAATAAGATAATTATGTTGGATTTGGTGCTATCTAAACACCAACATAAAGAAATTCCCTATTTTATGGGATTGATTAAGAAATTCCCATATTTTGTAGGAGTGAGATATTTCCAAATTTTGTGGGATTGAGATATTCACATTGAGATTGATATTGATAAGTTCTTAAAAGAAATAGAAATACAAAAAGATTAGGACTCTTGGATTTATTTGTTGGTCTTTTGAGATATATGTTATATCAATAGGAAGTTTCCTATTTTGTGTGGATTCCTAAATATATATATGGGATGAAAGTGTTAAAAATTCGTGTGCTCGATTTGGGTCACCATATGGGAATGGTGGTTACTCTAGGGAGAAATAAAGGTAGATCATCCTGTGCATAAGATGTGATTTCCTCCTAGAGAAGAGATCTTCTCTTTTAGTTAGAGAGAAAGTGAGTTTATCGTTGCTCTCAAGTCTCTATCTGGTATTATCGGTAATGATTGCCAAAAGTAAAGAGAAAGAAGGGAGAGTGGTTTAAAAGAGTGTGCTCGATTGTGTTTTTGTCGAGGTTTGTTTTAAAATCTTTGATGTAATTTTCATTGGTATAGTGGATTTCTGATTGTCGTGCTCATGGATGTAACCCTTTTAGAGTGACCTATGTAAATCTTTGTATTCTTGTGATGTGTATTTTATTTACCAAAAATCAACACATCGAGTTTAGAGCTTCCACACACAACAAGTGGTATCATAGCACAACAAGTGATATCAAAGCACAACAAGTAGTATCAGAACACAACAAATTACATGCTATATTTCACTAAAAAAGTAGGGCCTTTATAAGGTGTTATGGGCTTGATAAGCCATCTTAGTTGCGTAGTAAAATTTGGAACCTTATTGATTAGGCAAAGAAGAAATAATTCCATAAGCCTAAGATTTGAAAAGCCTTGACCCAAACTCTCTTACCAAATGTTGCAGGTGCAAATCTACTTAAATTTTAGTTCAAAGGCCATTTCATGGAATTACAAAACAGAAATTTATATAAAAAAAAAATACAGCTAATTTGTCAACTATTTATCATTTTAAACTATTCCGATTCATGATCATGTGCGTTTCAATGGGATCTTTCGAATTCGGTCAAAAGAAATAAGTACACTACTGTATATTTCATGTTTTAATGTTTTCTATATTACATTTGTGATACTTTCGGAAAACAAGATGATCTCTCCTCAGTCCTCGCAAAAATGCTTCCGACAGCTGATGATTTGTATGTACAATTGAGCAGATTCCGATAATTCGAAGGATCCTGTGCTCATAAAAAAGCTGGCTCTCGAAACCATTAATGATTTCCCAGAGGGAATAATCGAAATGGTTAAGCAAAGTGATCCAATTTCATTGAGCCTCACTCGGTTTAGGTTCCGGCCACCATGGGAGCTGATGCGAAAAAGTTGGCACAAAGGCACAGTCACTCTGGCTGGAGACGCCATGCATGCCATGGGACCATATCTGGGTCAAGGTTGCTCGCTAGGCCTAGAAGATTCGATCGTGCTAAGCCGGTGCATCGGGTCAGCCATGCGCAAAGCTCGAAAAGAGAATGACAGGCAAACCAGAGAGGCTATAAGCTCAGCAATTGAAAAGTATGTGAAAGAAAGGAAGATGAGGGTGCTAAGGATGTCTAGTCAAACTTACCTTAGTGGCTTGCTGGTAAAGCCGATATCACCTGTGTTGAAACTGGCCATCCAAGTTGTTTTGTTCGTTTTGTTTGGGAAACAGTTCAGTCATGCTCAATATGATTGTGGAACTCTCTTGGCCATATTGTAGAAGTGGTACAAATCATTAATCATAGACATATTGTTATTTTGAAAGGCTCAGTATCATATTACCAGAGAATATTGCCAATTTGGGAAAGGGGTTGGGGTGAGAGTGGAAGCACCCCCAATGCCTCTGTTTCACGTTGTGGCTTACATTTCCATTATAATAAAATGTTTTGGATATTAAAATTATAATTATGACAAAATTTAGATGTACGATTTAATTGGGTTGTTTAAAATTGCAACCTCATGTAAATCACACCCTTGATAAAAACCTCCCGAATAGGTTTTATAAACAAGAGAGTAAATGAATAGCATGCTCCTAGAGGAGCATAATATACGCTCTATAGTGAGAAAAATGTCGATCAGTCATACGAGGAAGTAAATGAATAGCTTGCTCCTAGAGGAGCATAATATACGCTCTAGAGTGAAAAAAATGCCAATCAGTTAGACGTGAGAGATCATAAAGATCAACGAGAGAAAAAGTGATATGTCAGATCAATGGTGAGAGAGAGAGATCACATCAATGAGGAGAGAGAGAGGAGAGACAAAGAGAGGTGGTTAGTGAGAGAGGAGAGAGAAAGAGAGGTAGGTTGGTGAGAGAGGAGAGAGAATAGAAAAAGAGAGGTGGGTTAGAGAGGAGAGGATAGAAAAAGAGAGGTGGGTTAGAGAGGAGAGAGGAGAGAGAAAGAGAGGTGGGTTAGAGAGGAGAGAGGAGAGAGAAAGAGAGGTGGGTTAGAGAGAGTTGAGTTGGTTGGAAGAGGTAGAGACAGTGATCGTGGGTGGAGGAATCATAGGGCTCGCCACAGCCCTCGCTCTGCACAGGTTCTTCCCTTTCCCTTACTCTCAATTAACTCTTTCAAATTTAAGCAATTTATCAAAACAAATTGAGCAATCTATCAAAATAAATCGAAGTATATGCGATCGAATGCGTATTTTGGCAGTAGGAATAGAGGAGACATGATTTTCTTTTCTTTTTTTTAACTTTAATCATGAAAGATGAAACTTGTTTGGTTTCTAATATTTCTCAAAAGAGAGAGAAATTGGATGGTTATTTGACAAAGAGGGGAGACATGAAACTTGTTTACTTTTCCATAGAGAGAGAGAGAGAGAGAACGGGTATTTGACAGAGATAGAGAGGGTGAGACGTGAAAATCCTCGTCACAAACTTGTTTAGTTTCCTGTTTTAAAACCCAGCGATTTTTTTATCTCAGATCCAAATAAGAATCCTTCCCCTGCATATATTTTTTCTTATGCTTATTTGATAGTTTTTAGATCCCTTCTTAACTTCCACCCTATAAATTTATATTTTAATTTTTATTTCTATTTTATTTATTTTTTAATATAATTCTAGATACTGATCCAGCTATTGACATGGATAAATGGGTATCCCACTAATCGAAGTTTTGAAATACTAGAGAGAGGGAGATTAGATGGACATTTGATAGAGCACGAGGAGATTGAGTGTGTATGTGAAACCTGTGTAGTTTCGATATATTTAGATTTCATTTCAAGTAGTAGATTTCAGTTCAAGTAATTGTGAGCATGTCACTAGACTCAAAGTTTAAAGGAAAAAGTTTATATGAGGATGCAACCATATAATGTAGAACTATGGGTGCACCTCAAAAATCAATTGGAAAAGGTACCCTTTGATCGACCATCTTGACATCGAGATATATGATCAAAAAAAATAACAAGATTTTAAGTCTTAAAAATAGTACATTTTACCACATATTATCTATACCGCTTATTTTCAAGATTTTCGTATGTTTATAGATGTACTTAATTTTAATTATTTTTAAAATTTAAAATTTTATAATTAAATATAACAATAGATTTTGAGATAATCTTAAGAACATTTTATATCAAAATTATATATCATGATAAAATTTGGCGGTGCATCTTACCTCTTCAACAGATGCATCCGTATGCCAACTGCGCCCAAGTTTAAAATATTTTTTTTTCAAAAAACATCCTGAGCCGTCTAATTTGACATTTAATGATTGAGAGTAATTGTGATCTCCTCGTAAAAAAAAATGAATACGCTCATTGTATACAATCCCTTTCGTGATGGTGTACTTTTTTTGCTTTGAATTTCTCTTGTTGTTGCTATAGATTTTAATTGATGAAGGGTTGGTATTAAGAGCGTTGTCTTGGAGAGATCCAACGGTATGAGATCGTACAAAGAATTTTGGACGGTGATGAGGGTAGGTAAAATCAATGTTTATTTTGGCCTATAAGCGTTAGAAGTATTTTCCAATATATATATATATATATATATATATATATATATGAGAAATGTTTATATGAGACCCCCAACAACATATAACTTCGGTGACCCCACTTTTTAGCAGCTCGATGTGAATCGAATGGCTACCATTGTTCATACCCTAATGTCACGCTAAACACTGTTTTATTTACCTTTTCTTTTTCTTTTTTTTTTTTACAAATTATTTTTCAATGAAAGTTTGGGCTTCCAATCATAAAATTAGGGTGAACCTAGAAAAACTAAAAAAGTAATATTTTTTATAAAAATAAATAACCAAAATGCCCTTGAAATTTTCAGGAGTATTCTGATAATTTTTTAACAATGAAAATATTTTATTATTATTTTATCATGTGTGCCCTTGTCGTATCTATGCATTCTCCAAATTTTGCTTTTAAAATGATTTATAGAATAAAAATTGAAAATAAAAATATCTAATATGTTCGATCAATATCTGATTGTTAAAAGTCAGTTTGTGACATTGCGACTCAAGCTATCTTAGCCATGTATTCAGATCTGATTGCGACTCAAGCTATTTTAGCCATGTATTCAGATCTGATGGCTGAGACTAGGGGTCACATATACTATGTATGTGAGGGGGCTAGAAACACAACCTTCCCTATATGTAATGCTTCTAATTGATATAAAGAGCTCCATCGGGTTAGACGATAATTAGCATTATCATAATCAAGTTGGCTATTGAACTAGTTAGGAGTTGGTCCAGTCAAAATTGCACTCCTACGAGTCAAACTAGTTAGACCGAATTAAAAATAAAAATAAAAATAAAAATAAAAAATAAAAAATAAAAAAAAAAGGAAAAATAATCTAGGGATATAAAATATATTATAAAAAAAAGAGTGAACCATTGATGTGTATCACTTATTTGCACAAAATTTGAAAATTATTTTTTTATACACAATTGTTGTTATACTCCCAGCCACCCCATGTCACGTCTAGTGGCTAGGCATATCATAGTCTTTTTGTATCGAAGGTCATTGTTCTCATCTTATCATCATCATCATTATTTGAGTGTTGTCCTCGACTATTTGGGATTGACTGCCCGAATTCGATATCATTCTTTTACTCAATCAAGCTCAGACGAAAAAATAAAAAGGTTATGTTAGTTTATGATTTCCCTAAGAATCTAAACTCTACAAAGCATATGAATTATGTTTAAAAATGAAATTAGGTGATTTGCTGCGCAATTGGCAGGGAAGAAGAGGCGCGTTGTCTTAAAAGAAGTGATCTAATGGAAACCCTAGCACATGCATTGCCACTTGATGCCATCCGCTTCAATTGTAGAGCAATTGATGTCCAAATTTCTCCAAATTCTTTTCCCATTGTTCATCTTGATGATGGGACTACAATATACTCCAAGGTATATACTCTAACAGAGTTTCTTTTATTTTCCTCATGATATAGGAATGGAATTCAAGACGTCTTTTTATGACAACGTATCAAATTTTCCACTTAAGTTTTGTGAAATCTCAACCATTGGACAAGACAGGGAGCTTTTTCGTAAGATAACGGTGGGTAATAGGCAAGGAGTTCAATGTAAAAATTAAAGAACATAGACATTAGCATTTAAATCTACGGCCCATAAACTCAAGGGCCCATATAATTTGACCCACATGTTCACGATAACAACATGATCCGGAGGTTGTCAACATTCCATCACTGAGTAGGAAGGTGATTGTGAGAGTGGGCCCATCAATTGTCTTTAGTTCATCGATATTTCTCATTGCTCCTCGATACCGTCAAATCCATTTATTTGGTAGATGCTCATGTTGTTGTTGTGACCATATGGATCAGGGTAGTGATTTAAAAAACAGATTGGTGACCCGGATCGAGCACCCCACAAATCGGTCCGGATTGACGAATCAACAGTCTGAATCACCGTCTTATTGTACGAATAAAATAGTAAACCAAAGAGAAAACATGAAAATACAGTGAACATGCCAAAAACCAGTCTAGATTGGCGAATCAACAGTTTCAACCGTCATTTTACTATGCATAACTGTCGGTTCCCTTCTCGGCCCAGCCGCTTTCTTATATATACGTAGAACTGGAATGGGGTGACCAGCATCTAGGTTGGATTAGGAGATTCTGTTCCGACCCGTCGTTTTTTAAATAAGCGGATGAGACTATTTTTTCTTTAATAATAAATATCATGAAACAAAAAGCGATCTTGAGAGAGCACACTGCACACTTACACGCTCGGAAAAATGGCATATTTAGCAAGAAAAAATAAAGAAAAATATGCTGAGTTTCTCAACATTTAAATTTGTCAAAAGAAAATTTGTATACTATCTATTGAATCTTAGGATGCTATTTTCTTCGAGCACGTATAAATTGTCGGGAAAATTTTTTCATTTGTTCAAGGAAAAAGCTTGGGCGCAAGGTTGAGGAGGTTTTGCTCTAAATTTGAGATCCTAAATAGGGTTTTGGCTGGGAGTGAATGTAGAATATGCCATGGGTCGAACATCTTATAATCTTTTGGCTATATGTTTCCCTAAATGCGACTCTACTCCATATAAATAATTTGGAATTTTTTTTTTGGTGTACAAAAATTGAACCGGCCTTGGAAACTGGCCATGGGCATGTATCGAGTACCCAATAAACCAAGCCTAACTGGGCAAGTCCCAGCTAGTAAAAAAATATTTAAAAAAATACAAAAAAATTTAAAAATTATGAAAAATGTATTCAAAGCATGATTAAACAAAGCACATCCAAATGAAGTTAAAAAAAACATACATTAAAAAAAAAAAATTCAATTTGTGCCCAATGGTATTTTTAAAATTTTTCAAAAAACATGGGAAAATTTAAAAATGAGTACTAATGGCCAAAACACTTTTCAATTTTTGCCAAAATGATAAAAAACATTCAAAAATACATTACAAATAAATCTCTTATTTTTGGGATTTTATTTGATTTTTAAAAAAAAAATTTTAAATATCTGGCCTCATCACCAAAACCAATCAAATAGGAAACTGCCAGTGACCGATTTGAACTGCCCGAGTTTGCCAACATTCTTTTAAAAAAAAAAAATTAAAACTTCATTTCTTGTACTTGAACTACTAGTTTTGCTTGGTCTTACTTATATCCAGGTTGTAGTTGGATGCGATGGTGTTAATTCCATAGTTGCAGAGTCATTGGGAGTTAGAGCTCCAAGTTTTGATTCCATGGGGAGAATAAGGGTAGTCACCACCTATCCAGGCAAGGGCCATGATTTTGGTAACAAAAGCAGCAGAGTAACAAGTACTCAAATTGTATTGGGGAGGATACCAATAAATCACAACTTGGTCCACTGGTTCATAACCTACTCGAGGTAATAAACAGTAAGATTAAATATATTTAGAAGATCCTATAAGACCATTTGTCATTTGTAAAAATATAGGTTCAATTATTCTTGGCTGTTATGATTTGAAATCAAGTGCCTGTTAGATTTTCAGTTCAAAAGAAAAAATTTAGCCCAAGGATGAGACATCTGATGGCCACATACTACTATGACCTCGTTTTACCAAAAGTAAATGGTGTTATATTATATAAACCTATATCTTTAGGAGGTAATTATAATAAAAAGGGACTTCTGATGTGAAAGTCATTGCATTTGCAAATGGATTATATAATATAGACAATTTTTTTTTTTGGTACAAGATAATTACAATCATTTCTAGTATGTGAAATCAGATTACTAGTGTCATTTGTTTAGAAGTTTGAAAAAAAACTATGTCAGATTTTGAGCACAGTCAATAGCACACCCCAATCTACTGAATTTCATATCTAATAGCTAGTGATGATTGTGACTTTTTCGTACAAAAAAATAGAAAGTCTTATTGTATATTTTTTATTTTTTTATTTTTTTTTGATGAGTCAGTTGGGAAAAGGCCTCTACCCTTGGTAGGAATTGAGTCTAGGACGTAGCCTTGCAAATTATCAGGTGCTGACCAATTAAGCTCAGGCTCTTTTCCTATATTTTCTCTTTATTAAGTTACAGAACAAGGCAAATATACCATTCACCAATGAAACAAGATGATTGAGATGCTCCCCATAATAAAACTACAAATGTTCTTATTGCATTATGCTGAGTACCATTACTAGCATATTGTTGCTTGCTATTCTCCCCGAGCACACACATTAATTATGTGTGTAGGATCCTAGGCCGTTTCATCTTAATCTAACGACCCTGAGCCCCTTCAACAGCCGGTTATTTTAGTGGAGTACTTTTGTGATGCCACCATTATTTCGGGCCCGTGAGACATTAGGCAGCTCAGGTTGTCGAAATGCCTATATCTCCTCATGCATATAGTTAATATGTATGTGGGGAGACGAAAAGAAAATCCTCCGTATGTCGGCCTAACCATCCGAATGTATGAATAGATTTTGAAATCTCAAAGGACCCTGTTCTCATAAGAAAGGCAGCTATGGAGGCTGGAGCCTATTTCCCAGAGGAAATTATCACAATGGTTAAGAACTGTGACTTGAGTTCATTGAGCCTGACCCAATACAGGTTCAGGCATCCACCTGAGCTCTTGCTAAGTAAATGGCACAAAGGCACTGTCACTTTGGCTGGAGATGCCTTGCATGCTATGGGACCATACATGGGTTAGGGTTGCTCTGTCGGCCTCAAAGATGCAATCGTGCTAGGCCGGTGTGTCGGCCTAGCCATACGTGAATCTCGAGAAGAGATTGAGAGGCAAGCTAGAGAGGCAATATGCTTAGCAATGGAGAAGTATGTGAAGAAAAGGAAGATGAGGGTGCTAAGGATGGCTAGCCAAACTTACTTGATAGGCTTATTGGTTAAGGCCTCCTCTCCTTTAATGAAGGTGTTCTTACGAAATATGATGTTGGTTTTGTTTGGGAGTGAGCGTACTGACACTACATATGATTGTGGAACTCTCTTTACACCCATCTTAGAGATTATAAAAACCAAGAAGGCCATAAAAATCTTTGTGAATTTCAAATGATGTTCATTATTTGTATAGATTTTCTTTAGGAACCCGGCAGTTAGCCGTTGCTGGTAGCAACAATACATCTCAAATTCGATTTCTACCTCTGGACTAGAAAATGCATAGATTTTCTAATGCAGGACCACCACAAAGGCAAGGGTGCAATTTTAGTTATAAATTGAATCAAAACCAGAGGGAATGGCCCGGGTGGTTAAGGGGAAAGGAATCTCAATGTACCGTCGGACGCTCCATTCCCACTCTTAACTTGGAAAGAAAAAAAAAAAAGTAAAACTAGATTTATTTAGTGTTTTAAATCAATTTGAATATCTTCATCATCATTATCATAGCCTTTTTCCAATTAATGGTGTCGGCGGCACGAATCCCGCCTCTATTAAGGGTTGTACCCTCAGTGAAGCCATTCAAATTAACTTGAATATAATTTAGCGAACTTGGTCTTGAACTAGAAGAATTGAGATTTTATTCTTTTTTATCAGCAAAAATGACTAATTGGATCAATCTTTGTTAGTGACTTAAGGTTGTTTTTTTAACTATTTAACTTCAAATTTTCCCGCCTAAACTCGCTAGAAGTAGTTAGAAAAGACCAAATGCCATTATCATAAGGCACCTGAGTTTCCTTTGTGGTTATCCCACGTGCTCCCAGTGACTATAACTTCGATTAAATGAGATTGTAACATGTGTCATCCTTTCTACCTGCTCCCGTTTTATCGTGCATACACTCCATTAACAATCATTTTTGTCCCTTAACATTTAAAATGGGTGGCGGTAAGAGTGTCATTGAATAGACACAAAGTTTTACAAAAAATATTCTTGGACTTCATGACTCATCCCAAGCATTTCAATTTGAAATCTAATGAGTGCAAATAATTATGACCTTCATGTACAAAAGATAAATGACTTCTTTAAAAACAATTTTTATCACTTTGTGACCTTCTCTCAACGGGGGTGGGAATCTTCGCTCCCTACATGCATGGAGATATAAAAGGTTAGATTTGAAGTATGGATATATAATAGCTAAGAAGATTCGATAAGGGTCTTCATTTGAACTACTCCATTCAATCTTCCTAGGAAAACACTGAGAAGCAAAATAAATTTCATTTAGTTGTGCCTCACCCTCCATTCCCACTATTAACATATCAACACAAAAAAGACAAAAAAATAAATTTCATTTAGTTGTGCCTCACCCTCCATTCCCACTATTAACATATCAACAAAAAAAAAACAAAAAAAAGAATTATTGAGTTGCATGGAAAAAGTATTATCACTAAGGGAAAGAGAAAGGTTTGTTGCCTTATTATCTAAGTGGTGGTGGGGATTTAATAAATATCATCATTATGGCATAACAAGAATGGAGTGGAAAAGGATACATTGCTAATTGTGAATGGAAAAAATAATTAAAGGGATTATCCATAAAGAAACAATTAATCTTTTGTAAATAGAGGTCACGATCATTTTTGTCTCTTAAATTTCAAAATTGAATAAACACAAAGTTTCAAGAAAATGAAATATTGAACTTTTTGACTCACCCCAAGCCATTGAAATCTAATGTGTGAGAATAATTGTAACCTTCATGTACAAAAGATAAATGATCTTTTGTAGACAATCACATGATTAAAAGGTTGTCAAGATTGTTTAAAGATTGTGTGGAATGATGATAAAGGAGATGAAACTTTGTTATGCTTGTTGTATTTACTACAACCAGTTGATATTATTAAATGTTTGCATACAGTAATTAAAAAATAAGATATTATATACTATGAGATCATTTGTTTTTTTGTACAAAGTGATCACAATGATTTTTAGTCATTAGATGTGAAATTCAATAGATGAAAGTGTGTCACAACATTCGAGATTTTTTGTTTTAAACTTTGTGCGCAAACAATGACACATCATCAACCACCCCATTTCAAATCTCACAGAGTCAATGATGATCGTGACCTTTTTGCATGAAAAGTAAATCGATTCGTTGTATAAATTTTCTAAAAAAAGAAAAAGAGCATTTGTCAATTTTCAAAGAGAGAGAGAGTTTTCATTAGCGAATTAGAGGGACATGGCTATGGGAACGCAAAAGATGGGAGGTCACCTGAAAGATGTGAAACAAAGGAGGACCACATACAAGGACTGCCGCCCTATTAGGAAAATCCTTGTAAAAAGGTCGCATGTCAAAATGTCCATGGTAGATCCTAATACAGGCTTTTGTTTTTCTTGAACTTTATCCCAATAGAGGCAATTATTGTTTGATCATCGGTTCTGGATCCGTCGAGTGAGGGCTAGCCGGACCCATACTTATCAAGACCGAAATGGACTGGTAGTCCAACCAGTCGGATCCACAATTGGTGTATTGGTCGGTTTGGTACTGAAAAAAAAATCAGATTTGGTAAAAAAAATCATCCAACGTTAATGCCCTACAAATTTTAGCCGAGCTGATTGACCGGTTTCGACGGTTCAACAAATCAAACAAAGTGGGCAGCTTTTTTTTTTTTCTATTTTTATTTTTTAATATATGATTTTTTTTAAAACTACTATTTTCATTTTAAAAATCCCATCAAACTAGTTCGACCAGTTGTCGAGCCTATTTTGATAAACTAGAGCCCCCACAAGTTCAGTGGCTGGTCCAATCCTAATAACACTTGTCAGACATACTAAATTATGTGTGAATGAGTCAGGTTTTGAGTAGCCGGACCATACTAGAATTACACCCAACTATCAAGAAATGTTATATGTCCTCAAGTAATAACAAATCTAACCAAACAAACCCCAATGCGTGAGAATAACCAAAACAGGCATGATTACGGCATGCTTAAGGCGACCAAGGACCACGCACTGCAATTTGCAAAAGATCGGACCATAATGAAAAATAATGAATAAAAATGAATAAAGAGTAAGAAGCAGAAGAGAAAAATAGGGATTGTACACTATATGAGACCATTTAGTTTTTTTCATTTTTAACCATTTGATGTAAAATGTAATATATAAAAGTGTCACAACGTTCTAGAAATTATATTTTAGATTTTACGCTCAAATAATGACACATTTTCAACAACTCAATTTGATATCTAATGATTAATAATGATTATGTCTTCTTTCTATAAAAAAATAAATGTCTCTCACAAGTTACATAACGAAAAATACACAGGGTAGCCTACACAATTTGAAAAATCAAAATGATTTGTAACTAACACATGCCATGAACCACGAGGTCAAAGCTTGGCATATAATGGAGTTCTTAAATCATATAAGAAGCTATTATTTTTGAGAAATTTGTGAAAATCAATTATCTAAAAGATAAACTATTTAACATTCTATCTTTTCCTTTATATTTAATTCAAACCATACGATCATAGTCATGAATTGGAATAATTAAAAATAGGTAAAAATTAAAATTTAAAAATCTAAACATCCCATCTATACTTTTCCATTTTTTAAACATTTACAAAAGGTTTATATATAGAAAATATTTATATAGAGCCGAGGCTCTAAACAATCAAATTAGAGCCCACCTCAAAAATTTCACTAGAAGATGTTGTTTTGATGCCCAAATATATTCAAATTGATCATCTGAACATCAAGATGCATGAACATGAGAAAAAAAAAAATGGATTTCAAGTTTTAGAAACAGTGCATCTTGCAATGCATTTTTGGACCATCAATTTTTAAGATTTTCAAGTTTTCATAAATGTACTCGATCTACACCTTTTTTTAAGCTTTAAATGTTGTAATTAAATACAAAAATATATTTTAAGGTTATCAAAAAGATTTCCAGTATTGAAACCACATTTATCGACACTATTTGAAGGTGGACTTTATTTTGATTGTTTAGAGCCTCGGCTCTATACAAATCGCATTATATATAAAGGGAAAGTATATAATAACTCTATTTAATTTCGGTCACAAATGCTTTCTCGTTATAAGATGTAAAATCGGGCGGCTGAGATGTGTCATTGGCTGCTCTAAATCAGATATTGAAATTTTTTATTTTATTTTATTTTCCGGATGATATGCCAAGAGAGAATACACTCCAAATACCTATTTTTTACATCAGACGGCTTGAATATATGTGACCCTTGGGCATGGAAGTTAATGGTCTCATTTTATACAATTTCACAAATATATCAATAAGGTATATGTGGCATTTTTAGAGAGAGAGAGTGACCAATCAAAGGATAGGTTAGAGAGAGAGAAACAATAGATTATAGCATGGATATATAGATACATTGGAGTACAAGTAGAAGAGAGAAAAGAGATTGGGCTGTTTAGAGAGAGAATATAAGAGGTTGTTGGTCTAGAGAGAGAAAGAAGATGAGTTACATGGAGGAGGAAATAGTAATTGTGGGAGGAGGAATCATAGGCCTCGCCACCGCCCTCGGTCTTCACAGGTCTTCCCTTTTCCATAAAATTACATGTTAATACAAATTGAAGCATATTGAGTACATGCATGAGTGTGCTCAAATGGAAACTCGCTTAATTTCTTTCTTTTTTTCACTTTTTAAGAATATTACTTTCGAATTTGTAATTTTTTTTAAGGAAAAAGTTTATATAAGGGCGAGGCCCTAAACAATCAAATTAAGGGGTACTTCAAAAATTTCATTAGAAGAGGTTGTTTCGATTCCCAAAAATCCTCATTTTGGTCATTTCGATCTCAAGATGCATGACCGGAGACAAAATGGATTTTAAGTCTTGAAAATAATGTATCTTATAATGTATTTTCGATCAGTCAATTTTTAAGATCTTTAAGATGTGCTCGATCTACATTATTTTTGAAGCTTTAAATTTTATATTTAAAGGCAAAAATAAACTTTCAGGCCGTTACAAATATTTTCATGATCATCTTTTGACACTATCTGAAGGTGCGTTTTACTTTGTTTGTTTAGAGCCTCGGCCTTACACAAAACCACGCCCTTTTTTAATGTCGTTTTTATTGTGAGAAGGGCTCTTTTTTAACGTCTCTCTTTTTCTTCTGAATTTGTTGAAGGCATGGAGTGAAGAGCCTGGTTTTAGAGAGAGGAGAGTTGTTGAGGTCAGAAGGGGCAGCACTGGCAATGTGGACCAACGGTTGGCGTGCCCTTGATGCTCTTGGTGTTGGTGAAACACTAAGACACAAATCAATACCAATACATACGTACTTTCTATCTCTTGGACGTTCTCTCTAAATTTTGTTAATGCACTCTCTCTTCAATATCAATACCTGCATACTTCTTTCTCTCCATGTTTTTCCTTCTCTCTCCATCCCCTTAGGACTTTGTTTAGACGGGACCAGTACCTGGTTGCGGCCTTTTTATGGTATCTTTGACTTTCACTCGCCTCTCTCAGGCTCTCTCTCACCCTCTCCACTCTTCTCCCACTCGATTTGGAGAAAATCGAGTGACGGAGAAGAAAACGGAAGAGCGAGACCAAAAGAGAGACGGAGTGCTAGAGATATGAAGGAGATGCATTATCTAGACCGTCAACTCTCTAGATTTTTAAGTGTTCATAGATTTGTTCAACATAAATTATTTTTTAAACTAGAAATTTCATAATTAGAAATAAAAATAAAATTTCAATCCATCATAATGAATTTTGATTATGAAAGGGCATCTTTTGATACTATTTGAAAGCACGCCTTAAGTTGATTGTTTATGGCCTCAGCCCCATCCAAACCATACCCTTTTAATATTTGGACACCATAGTCAGGGAGGGAAATATTTGTTATATTATTTCATGGAAAAGTATTTTGGTCGGCTGACTCTTACATCTACCGTAATTTTCAAAGGTTTTAGGACCCCAAACACATACCAAATCGTCGTAAATCTATTCCATCTCAAATCAATGAAAAATTTAAATTTCCATAACATAGTAGTTTTGAGAATCAACAATTTTTGAAGAATTAAAATTAAATTAACAATTCAAAAAAAAAGTAAAAAATAGGCCATTTTTAAAGCTAAGTACTTTTTCTCTTTTTTTCCCTTCAAATCCAAGATCGTGAACCGCAAAATTCTTTATCTAAAGTCGTTGGGAGGTGGATTCAAAATTTTGATCCAAAATCGAGTCCCTGGACGCACCTAAACACTATATTGATATTATTATTATTATTATTATTATTATTTTGGGTTTTTTTTTTTCTTTTCCTTGACATGTTATCAATGGGAATGGAGGGTGAGACGTTATGTAGAGGAATGATTACACTGGCAACTCACCTTTATCTCATATTTTCTCTTGAATCAGAGTGACCGACGTTTGTTTTGAAGAAGGTCGACAACGATCAATTCCTATTGGGTATATCTCCTCTCACATGTATACAACTTTTTAAAAAGGGTCTGTCTACAAAGATACCCCATTTATTTTTCGCACAAAGAAGTTATAATTATTCTTATATTTCAGATTTCAAAATAAGTAGTTGTAAGAGTGTCATTGATTAGACATAAAGTTTAAAAAAAAAAAAATATCGAGCTTCATGACTCACCCAAAGCCATCCAATTTAACATTTATTGTATAAAAATAGTTGTGATCTCTTTATACAAAAATCAAATGGTCTCTTTATAGATAATCCCTTTAAAAAATACTCTCATGATCAAGGCACAATTACCTTAAAACATTTGTTTTATGAAAAGACAAAAAAGTTTCAAAAAATTTCAACATCACTTCAAACATAGCTCAGTTTCCAAAGTCTTTTGTTTTAGAAAAAGACAGAAAAATAGTTATCGAAAAATTCCTACAATACTTCAGTTGAACAGCCCAGCAATTACATATTTTTCTACATATCAAAATTACCTCAAATATTTAGGGCATATGCTGCTATGAGGTACGCTTAAAAATATAAAATAAATAATATAGTAATAAAAATGATCAAAATACCCATACAAATATTTCAAGGGCATAAAGATACCTTCATATTTTTATAATTATTTTCCTCTTTCTCTTTTTGGGTACGTGATGGTTAAAGATGCACACGACCCAAATTTGAGGTAAACATGATTTGTAAATAAGAATAATAATAATAGTTCAAATACTATTGGACGACTGTAGTTATCTGATACACGTTAGATAGTGATGAGCCATAAATGAGTTACTACATAAATTTTGCTCATTTGTGTTTTTTAAATATGCACAAGAATTAGGAATTTCAGAGAACATTAAACCTTTCCCAAATTTTCAAAGGCATCTTAGTAATCAGTATGCAAGGTATTCCTGCAAAACATCCTAAGATATTTCACTTTGTACGAATTATTTCATAATTCTTTTTCCTGTTTTTCTAAAGAGATTTTCAGAAATCCCTTGGGCTTGATCTCATGGCGAAACCATGAGGAAGAAAGAATAGATAAGAGGCAACACATTTTTTTGAAATCAAATTCCGAAAAATTTTAAGAAAAAACAATATCTCCTTGAGAATTCAGAGTAAGAAATACTAAAAAGCCCATGAATCTAAATATAAATAACAGAATTGGCTAATTGTTGCCAATTGACAGGAGAGATGAGGTACGTTGTCTGAAAAGGAGTGACCTCATGGAAACCCTAGGAGAATCATTGCCACCTGAAACCATCCGTTTCAATTGCAAAGTTGTTGGGGTTACAATCTCTCCATTTTCTCATTCAGCTGTTCATCTTGAGAATGGGACCACAATCTCAGCCAAGGTAATCTTCCATGAAAAGTCCTTGCCCTAATAAATAAATAAATACGTAAAACAAAAAATTTAATAGAAGTCACTAAAATATAGTAAATGTGACAGGGAAAGTGTATGATCAACCAAAAAAAAAAAAAGAGAGAGAAAATGAAAGGACAATTATCTACAAAAAAAAAAAATGATTGTTTATAAAGATACCATTTATCTTTTGTACAAAAAGATCACATTCATTATTGCCCTTTAGACTTCAAAATAGGTAGTTGTAAGATTGTCATTGATTAGATACAATTCCAAAAAAAATGATCGGACTCCGTGACTCACCCCAAGCCATCCAATTTGATATCTAATGATTAAAAATAGTTGTGACCTCATTGTGCAAAAATAAATAATCTCTTTATAGACAATCCCAAAAAAAAAAAAAGAGAAAGAAGGGGAAAAGACACTAGCATTATATGACTACATGAATATATAGCAATGAGGATCACCATCCAATCAAGGGATTAGATAGTGATAAGAGATAGGGTGGAAGAGTGTCAGAAAAACCACGTGGTCGTCTAGGGACTCGTTTGAGTCGGCAGCTTAGATTGGGAGCGAAGTGATTGTGGGCTGGAAAACCCCGGAATCGCAAGGGTTTCCCGTTCTATTCATCATTTTCAAATTTTTCTAAATAAAGTTGCTTGATCCGATTCAAACTTGCCTGAGTCAAAGGGGGTGGACTAAGATCAAGCTTTGTTGAATTGGAGCTGAGTCTGACTCTTTAATCACTGGTTTAGAAGTCATAGCATGTTTCATGGGTCCCACTCGCTCTCCATCACCATCCTAACCATTGATTGGACCATAATGGCCCTTACTACCATGTCATGTGCTCAAATCATGGCATACATTTCTTAAACAACACCACAAAAGCTAATAAAAGCCCAACAAAACTTACCCCGCCCTAAACCAAAAAAAAAGAAAATATTTTCTTTTCTTTTTTTATATTCTTGATACGTTACAGTTAAGGACACATATTAAACCAATTTTCTTTTCTCAATAACAACTTCAATTACAGGTAGTAAAACCACTATTTCTCTCAGACTGTTTCTTGTTTTTTACTTTCTTTTCCTGTTCAATGGCCAGTCTGGACTTTAAAACATCGATTGTTCCTATGATGTCACCTGCATCAGGTTGTACTAGGCTGTGATGGAGTTAACTCAGCAGTTGCAAAGTCATTAGGATTGAGAAATCCATGCTTTGATTCCTTTGCTGCTATAAGGGGATTCACAAGTTATTCAGGCAAGGGGCATTGTATCGGGAATCAAATAATCCGACTAAAGAATGATCGCATGGTCGTTGGGAGGCTCCCAGTCAACCACAACTTGGTTCATTGGTTCATAAGCAGGGCATGGGTTCCTCAAGGTAAGAAATGTAAAGCTTTCGAGTGAATGCCCACAAAAACCTCAGGTGCATAATGGCTGCAAAGAAAAGTCTCAGTGATCAACCAGAATTTCGCTTAAATAAGGAGACATATGAAGCCATGCCCCAAGTTAAACCATCATTGGGTGAAAATTGGAAAACTACACGGGTTTTCAGCTCTAATACTCCATTTCAGCAGATATCTGCTAGATTTAAAGGCAACGAACAGAAAAAAAAATTGCAAAAACTACTAAATGTCTCTAGTGTTAATCTCAAAAGTGTTAGTGTACAGTCGATTTCATCAAGTCATGAGAGCCCACTAGCAATATACAACTCATTCATGTGGTCAGATAACTAAAATGCCCCCAAAAGATCATCATCATCCAAGCCTTATCCCAATGATTTGGGGTCGACTATTTCAAAATTCACTATAAGATGTGGCAAAGTTTATGCTGACTGGACTTTTTTTTTTGGGTAAAAGAAAGAGCCAACGGATTTAAAGAAAGCATCTCTACCTGGACGTTAAGAGAAAGTTTAAGATCCTCATCCTTATTAGACCAAAATGCACCCTAGAACAAAAATATAAAATCACCCTCACATATAAAGATAAAAATATAAATAAAACACCAAACCATCCCCCTATTCTTCTTACATCATTGCCGCCTAACCATTCAAACTGTATCAAACAGATTGCGAGATTTCAAAGGAGCCCAAACTCATCAAAGAGGCAGCACTTGGAGCCATTTCCAAATTTCCAGACGAGATAACCGAAATGGTTAAAAGTTGTGACCAAAGTTGTTTGAGCCTTACACAATATCGGGCTCGGTCCCCATGGGAACTCTTGGTAAGGACGTTGCACAAACACTCAGTAACCTTAGCTGGAGACGCAATGCATGCTATGGGACCATACACTGGTCAAGGATGTGCAGTAGGGCTCGAAGACTCTGTCGTGCTAGGACGGTGCCTAGGGTTAGCCATGCGTGGGTGCCACGAGGAGAGCGAGGATCAAACTAGGGTTAGGATCAGCATGGCTTTAGAGAGATATGTAAAGGAAAGGAAGATGAGAGTTATAAGGATGGCTAGCCAGACCTATTTAGTGGGCTTGCTAGTAAAGCCCTCCTTTTCTCCATTGAAGCTGATTGTACTTGTTGTTTTGTTGCTTTTCTTTGGGGGTTTGCAAGGGGGCACTCAGTATGATTGTGGTACTCTACTCAGCCCAAAAAGTTAATTGTGGCAATCTCTTGGCATCATCTCAGAGGTTTTAGGTTCAATCTTGTTTTGTATCTTTTATTTTTCTTTTGGATACGCTTGGGTGTGGCATAAGACTTGTTTTAGACTTGCTTGAAGTACTAGAGAGAAAGAAGAATGGGAATTGAAATTCAAATGATGAGCTGAGAATGTCAAATACAATAAAACACCCTATGCTGATACCACTGTCTGTGACAAAATTTGTCCACAATTTAGTTTGGTCGCCTAGGTAAGGACCCGGTTTCTATGCGGCCAAGCCCGCATATGTAGAAATACGGGTTTCTTAATAAATCTGTTTTTGAGATGGATTTTAAGACTTAATTTTTAAAGACATGTAATCTCTAACATGGAGATCATGAATATGAATAAATAAAAAAATTAAAAATAATAATTCTAGTAAGAAAACATTTGGACCGTATGTTTCCATTGTTTTTAGATGGAACATCTACTTGCATCCATCTTTAAGATAGATGCTTTACACTTTCTGGACCGCATATGTAGAACGCATGAAACAATTTTCCCCTGGATAATGGGATGACAACCCTCAATTCCCACATCAGTAAGTTAAGGCAGAAGTTGGCTCTTTTTCCTCCTCCTGAATCAGCTGGAACACATGTAGAATATCCAAACAATTTAGGCCAAGTTTTGTCTAAGAGCATGTATGCTATGCTCCTGAGGGAACATACTATACATTTACTCTCTCAATTAAAAACCTACTTAAGAGGATATTTTTAATCTGAAATTGTGTGATCCACATTAGAATCACTAGGTAAGTACTCCCGAACAAAAACAAAAATTGGATTTTGAGCTCCTCAGCACTTGGATCTAATCATCCAAGGATAGGATTGTCCTCGTTGAATATGAGGATGTTATTCTTTTTAGGAACTTCCAAAGTGTGTGCTATTTTTTCTCTTGTTATTTTTCTTTCTTTCTTTTATTTTTTATTTTTAACATAATCACATGGTTGACAAGGTAACATTCCGAAATTTTGGGGTCCCCAGAATGCTCCAAGATAGACCTGAGGAACTGAACCCCTCCAAGATGCTCCCATGGGAGTGTAGAACCTTTGACTTTGTCTACATTATGGTTGAAATTCATCCATACTCTTTTGAAAATCGGTCAAGGTTTTGATCAAAAGTTGGTACACCAAACTGCAAAAAATTTCAAATGATAAATCTGTTTCATTTAAAATAGGGTGCTGTTTGTGTAGAGCCTAGGTTCTAAACAATCAAATTAGAGCTTGCCTTCAAATAGTGTCGAGAAATGTTGTTTCAATATTGAAAATTTTTGTGATAGCCTTAAAATATATTTTCATTTTTATATATAAAGTTTAAAGCTTCAAAAATAGTGTAGATCGCCAAATCTATGAAAACTTGAAAATCTTGAAAGTTGACGGTCTAAAAATGCATAACATAATACATTAGTTTCAAAACTTGAAATCCATTTTTTTCTCATGTCCATGCGTTTTGATGTTGAGATGATTAATTTGAAGATATTTGGGCATCAAAACAACCTAGTGAAATATTTGAAGTAAGCTCTAATTAACTTTTCCCTTTAAAATATGGTCGCTTCTTTGCAAAAACTAAGTAGTTGAAATGAATATCGCTAAATTTCACGTTTTGGCTTCAGTAAGCTTGAATGGCTATAGAATTGTTATCAATTAATGCTTCCTTATGCATTAGGACATGACATTATAGGTGATGTTGCACTTATTTTCTTTAGTTTTTTAACTTTCTAGCAAGTTTTTTTTTTAAAAAAAAAGAATTAAGATTGTATGTAAGTATACGTTTACAATGCAATGAAGTTATAAATTAATTGGTAAAATATGAAATAGCTTAATTACTTACAAAATATAAATATATAAAATAAACTAAATATTTTCTATACTTTATAGTTTATTTATTTTTGCATTATAACTTAATTTTATAAACTTATACCTATATTTAAGTTTAATTTCTTTTTTCATTTTCAATTGCTAGAAAGTTTACATGTATCCTAAACCTCTAAGTAAAATGGTAGAACATGATTCATGTAGCTAACTCCAAATAGTTCGGATAAAGGTTAGATGATGATGAATAAAAACTATTGGATAGTTTACACAAAATGTCATGTCCAAATGCATGACCCAAAACATTAAATAATAGGGAAATTATCATGAATATACCTTAATTTTTAAAAAAATCCCAAAAAAAAACCTCAACTTCCCAAAACCTCGCCCACACCCTTTTTCTCAATTTTCCACATTTTTTGGACGAAAATACCCTTTATGGTAGTCTTTCTACCGTAATGCATTGTGACCATTACGGTAATTAAAATACTCTTGTTAATAGAGATAGACTTACGATACTTCTAGTACCGTAATAACGTGAACATCTATTATGGTATTTTAGTTACCACATTAACATAATTAAAATACCGTAATACCTTAAAGTAGTAATACGGTAATTTTATTACCGTAACATTGTCTAACTCAAAGCAAAAGATTTTCTACTCAAAACATAAGGTTGATGACGACTTGGTTAAGTTGTGGTCCGAATCATTCTTGTCAGATTTGCTTCGGGGTCTTTTGTCGATTAGGTGGTGAGAAAAATAAAACAATTTGGTGCTTCGACCAATTCTGGAGAAGACTTCGAACTTTTCTAAAATTTAGTATAAAAAAATTAGATATTTATATATAAAATATATATAAATTATTGAAAAAAAATATATACTTTTATATAACTATATCTTTGATGGCCGAAACATACCTGAAACAAAACCAAAGCGATTCGAATTTGACCAAAACAGCCCGAAGCGGTCTGATTCTAACTGAAGCGGTAACATCAGGCTTCACTTTTTTTTCTGTTCATGCTTTAAATCTGAAAGCTTTGGCCGGAAAAGAATTTGATAACTGGTCCGAATAAAAGAACAAGTTTCCCTATCGACACGTGCGCCCGCACCAAAGGAGATGAGGTTTTGGTTTGAGCCCAACGTTGGGCAAGTGGATCTCCTCGTTCTTGTCAACCACTTACCGCTCTTGATGGCCTCGGATAATTTGGTGCTCATTTTTGTAATCCTCTTGGCTAAGTCTCTCTTGGGAATTGATCCACTTGGCTAAGTCTCTCTTTGGAATTGATGCTCAAGCAGATAGGAAAACTAGTTTTCTGTATTTTTTTATGGTATATAAGTTGTATATTTTTTCAGCTTGATATGAATGAATGGCTGAGATGGATCCAATCACATGTCATGCTACTACATTATTCAATTTTTTTAGTTTTTTACAAAATGTTTTGACTTCAAATTTTGGTCATTCACTCCTCTCCCAAAATTGCATTGCAAAAAATATAAAAGAATATTCCAAATAAAATAAAATGATCAAATTCTCCTAAAAGTTTTAAGGGTATTTTGAACATTTAATTTTATCAGAAATATTTTTCTAATTTTTTTAGGTACACCTCATCGAGATGATGGCACGTACCAAATTCTACATTCATATTATTTGTAAAAAAAAATAAAAATAAAATATTGTAAAGTGTCGGATCTAGATGAAATAGTAAGTGACTCAATTGATCTAAATGCATAGATAGGATAGAAGGATATAACTTATATAGAGCATAGAAAGCTTTCAAAAGCTTTCCCGAAGAAAAATTATTGTTTATCAAATGTTTTCAAGGAGCAACAAAGTAGAATAATAATTTTTAATGTGGGCATGTAAGTTTCTCATTGGGGTAGAAGGAAATTGAAGAATGAGCACTATATTGCATGAAAAAGTACATAAATACAGTAAGATCAAGAGCACCAAAGTTGTTATTGTTCTAGAGAGACGAAATTCGCACAAGAAAGAAGAGTTCCAAAAGCAATGTATACAAAGGGAGAAGTTTGAGTCCTATATACACAGGAGGAGAAAATGTCATTTCAACTTCAGTCATTGTTCATTGCAATTGAAAGACGAAGAGTTGTGACTCTTTGTATCTCAACTTTAAACTAGGTTAAGATGATGAAATTTTGATTTTAGTGAGGCTTCATCATCCAAGTTCTTTTTTTTTAACCCCAAGACGTGGTTAGCATGCGGCCAATCCCGCACATGTAGAAATGCGGTTTTAAAAATAAATATATTTTTTAAACGTAATTTGATATTAATTTTTAAATCATAAATAATCTTTAATATGGAGATCATGAATATGAAAAAGTAAATAAATTTTGAAAATTAGAAATAATAATTATATTAAGAAAACATTTGGGCCATTAGTTACAATTGTCTTTAAGATGGATGCTTTATACCTCTGAACCTCATCTTATATAAATGCAGTCCAGCCCGCATGAAACAATTGTTATTTAGTTTATTATGTTTCAAATCTCAAATAAACAATTTGAAAATTGTTTCAAATTGTTTGTATTTAATCCCATAACTATGAGACCGTTTGTTTTTTGTACAAAGAGGTCACAATGATTTTTAACCATTGGATGTGAAATTCAATAGATTAAAGTGTGCCACAATATTTGAGAATTTTTATTTTGAACTTCATGCCCAAACAATAACATATCATCAACCACCCGATTTCAAATCTCACGGTCCATAATGATTGTGAACTTTCTATATCAAAAATAAAAAATCCCATTGTATATATTTCCTAAAAAAAAAACATTCGTGAATTTTAAAAAAAAAAGATAAAGAGAGAGAGACAAAAGGTGAGGTAGGTTTCATTAGCGAATTAGAGAGACATGGCTATGGGAACACAAAAGATGGGAGGCCACATGATAGATGTGAAACAAAGGAGGACCACATACAAGGACCGCCATCCTATCCGGAAAATCCTCATATCAAATTGCCCGTTGTAGATCCCAATACTGGCTTTTGTTTTTCTTGAACTGTATCCCAATAGAGGCTATTATTTTTTGATCATCGGTTTTGGATAGAGTAGTGGTCCAAGTAGTTGGCTCGGCAACCGATGCATTGGTCGGTCTAGTACCAAGAAAAACTCAGATTTGGTGAAAGGGAATCATCCAGCTAATTTTAGCGAACCCGACCGACTGATTTGGATGGTTCAACAAATCAAATAAAATGGGCAGGTCTTTTTATTTTTTTGTTCAATATATCAATCTTTCAAACTGCCATTCACATTTTTAAAATCCGATTAAACTAGTTCAACCCATTATCACCAATTTTGACAGAAAGCATACAATAACTCTATTTACTTTTAGTACATAGACATCACTAAACCCTAGTTGCAAGATGTAAAATCAGACAGCTGAGAGGTATCGTTGTTGTAAATCTTTCTTCTTTTTTTTTCTTTTTTTTCCTTCAGATAATGTGCCAAGAGAGAGACACCAATGAAAGGGAAAGGGTAGGTTAGAGAGAGATCAATGAAAGGGAAAGGGTCGGTTAGAGAGAGAAGATGAGTTGGATGGAGGAGGAAATAGTGATTGTGGGAGGAGGAATCATAGGCCTCGCCACCGCCCTCGGCCTTCACCGGTCTTCCCTTTTCCATACATTTACATGTTAACACAAATTGAAGCGTATTGAGTATATGCATGAGCGTGCTCAAACGAAAACTTGTTTAGTTTCTTCTTCTTTTTTTGCATTTTTGATAATATTAGTTTCAATTTTCATTTATTATTTATCTTAATGTTGTTATTCTTATGGGTGTAATTTGCATAAGTTTGCAACATTAAACAATCATGTGTACCTCCAAACTTTGTCATGAGACGCAATCTTGATGCCGAAAATTCTTAGGATGACGTGAGTATCTATTTTTATTTCTAATTATAAAATTTTAATTCAAAAAATGATTCCCATCAAACAGATCTATAAATGCATAAAAATCTTGAAAATAAATTGCCCAAATAATGTTTCGTAAAATGAATTATTTTTAGGGCTTGAGATCTCTTTTTTCTCTGTATCTATACACCTTGATGTTGATATGATCAATTAGATTCTAACATCAAAACAATATTTCTCAAAGGATTTTAGAGGTACACATTAATAATACATTTCAAGGCGTCAATCTTATATAAACTTTTTCCTATTTTTATTGTGAGAGGTCTTTTTTAAAGTTTCTCTTTTTCTTCTGAATTTGTTGAAGGCATGGAGTGAAGAGCCTGGTTTTAGAGAGAGGAGAGTTGTTGAGGTCAGAAGGGGCAGCACTGGCAATGTGGACCAACGGTTGGCGTGCCCTTGATGCTCTTGGTGTTGGTGACACACTTCGACTCAAATCAATACCGATACAGACGTACTTTCTCTCTCTTGGATGTTCTTCCCTCCAAATTTTGCTCTCTCTCTCTCTCCATGTTTCTCCCTCTCAATTTTGTTTAACTTTGTCCATCTTTGAGACTCTCAATCAATTAGGGGTTGCAATGGACCCAGACCCGATCCAAGTTTGGATATGGGTCCAAAAATTGGACCCGGTGGATCAGGTTTGGACTCGAATACTCTTCGAGTCCAAGCTTAATAATATTTTAAATATAATACATAGGCATTTTAATTTTTAGGTCAGGTCCAGTGCCCAGGTCCTAGTTCGGATCCCACACTATGTTTTCGGGAGTGGGTCCATGGGTATGGTGTATGGCATGTTTCCAGGAGAATACTGTAGAACAACCTTGGCAAAAGTGCATGTTCTTGCTTTGTGCTTGAAGTTGGTAAAAGGTAAGATATGAAATTGCCTTGAATTAGCTCATGCTTGAGGTCTAATACTTCTCTCCGACACTCTTACTTTTTGCTCCACTGATTTTCAAATGTTTTAGGACCCAAAACACATCCCAAATGATTGTAAATCTATTCCATCTCAAATCAATGAATTTAAATTTCCCTGAACATTGTACATTTGAGATTTGACAATCTTAGAAGAATTAAAATCGACAGTTCAAAAAAAGGTATAAAATAGCCATTTTTAAAGCTAAATTCTTCTCTTCCCCATTCAAATTCAAGATCGTGAACTGCAAATTTTTTTATCCAAAATCATTGGGAGGTGGACTCAAAATTTTGATCCAAAATGGAGTCCAGGGACACACCTAAACACTCAATTGATTTAATTGTTTTTTTTTTTGCCCTTTTCTCCTGACATGTTATCGGTGGGAATGGAGTGTGGGACGTTATGTAGAGGAATGATTTCACTGGTATCTCAGCTGTTTTTTCGAGCACTTTGCTGTGCAGCAGCTTTCCCTCAAGATTGACTTTGTAGATCTATTTTCTTTTGAATCAGATTGACAGACGTTTGGTTTGAAGAAGGTCGACAACGATCAATGCCTAGTGGGTATATCTCCTCTCACATGTATTAAGAAGGCCCCTTGTGATCAAGCCACAATAACATTGTAATATTCGTTTTGGGAAATCATATAAAAATATGGAAAAAAATTTCATGCGGGCTGGACCGTATTTCTACAAATGTGGTCCAGAAATCGTTTAACAACCATCTTAAAGATGGATGTCAGTAGGTGTTCCATCTAAAAACAATGGAAACTAACAGTCTAAATGTTTTCTTACTAGAATTATTATTTCTAGTTTTTAAAATGTATTTAATTTTTCACATTCATGATCTCCATATTAAAGATTACATGACCTTAAAAATTAAATCTTAAAATCCATCTCAAAAATAGATTTTTATTAAGACGCCTACATTCCTACATATGTAGGTTTGGCCGCATAGAAACCGGGTCCTAAAAATATGTATCAAAAAATTTGTACAGTATTTCATTCAAGGATCATCAACATCCAAAGCCAAAGCCCATTGAATAGTTAGTTACACAATAATCTCTTAATTTACATATTTTTTAAACAAATCAGATTTTCCTCTAATATTTAGGGCATGTTCTCCTCTGAGGAGCGCCTAAAAATATAAAATGAGTAATATAGTAATAAAAATAATCAAAAAGTCCATACGAATATTCAAGGGCATTTTGATCACTTCATCTCTTGTGATTATTTTTCTTATCTTATGTTTTTTGGATCCGTGACCGGTGCACACGACCCAAATTTGAGGTAAACTTGATCGGTCAAATAACAATAATACGACTAATAAAAGTTCAAATATCCTTGACTTTGGGTTATTGTTTGAAAAATCAAACCGGTCTTAGAAACCAGCCGAGGGCTGGGACCGAGCAACTGATAAACCGGCCTAACCGGGCAAGTCCCGGCCAGTCCAAAAAGTTTTTAAAAAAACAAAAAAATCCAAAAAAGTACGAAAAGTATATTTAAAGTATGATTAAACAAAGCATATCCAAAGCATACCCAAGGGTATTGTTGAAATTTTTCAAAAAAAATAGAAAAATATAAAAATAAGTATTCATTGCCAAAATGATTATAAAAAATAAAAAAAAAAACATTCAAAAACACATTACAAATAAATCACTTATTTTTTAAAAAAATTCTATTTTATTTTTTATTTTATTTTAAATACACAGTGGGGCCACCAAAACTACCAAAACCGGATGGGCCAATGCCTAGTTCCAGTTTGACCGGCTGGTTCCAAGTTGGACCGACCGAGTTTGCGAACATTGCTTTGAACAACGATGAGCCACGAATGAATTCCTACGAAAATTTTGCTCATTTGTGTTTTTTAAGTATCCACAAAAATTAGACATTTTAGAGAACATTAAACCTTTCCCAAATTTTCAAAGGCAACTCAGTAATAAATGTGCAAAGTATTCCTGCAAAACATCCTAAGATATTTCACTTCATACAAATTATTTCATAGTTCTTTTTCCTATTTTTCTAAAGAGAATTTCTCAAATCTCCCATGGGAAAACCATGAGGAAAAAAGAAAAAGAAAAAGAGCCAAACACAGATTTTCTAGAAATCAAATTCCAAAACATCTTTGAAAAAAAAATCCCCTAGAGAATTCAAAGAGTAAGAAATACTAAAAAGCCCGTGAATCTAAATATAGATAAAAGAATTGGCTAATTGTTGCTAATTGACAGGAGAGATGAGGTACGTTGTCTGAAAAGGAGTGACCTCATGGAAACCCTAGGAGAATCATTGCCACCTGAAACCATCCGTTTCAATTGCAAAGTTGTTGGGGTTACAATCTCTCCATTTTCTCATTCAGCTGTTCATCTTGAGAATGGGACCACAATCTCAGCTAAGGTAATCTTTCAAGATAAGTCCTTGCCCCAAAATAAAAAAATACTTTTATAGTTATACCCTAAACCCTGGAATCGCAAGGATCTCTCGTTCTATTCATCATTTTTAAACTCTTCATAATAAAAGTTGCTTGATTTGATTCAAACTTGCCTGAGTCAAAGGGGGCGGACTAACATTGGTTTGGAACTAACATTGGAAGTTGTAGCATGTTTCATGGGGTCCCACTCTCTCTCCATCACCATCCTAACCATTTATTGGACCAGGATGGCCCTTACTTCCACATATGTGGTGTGGTTGAGTCATGGCATACATTTCCTAAACAACACCACAAAAGCTAATAAAAGCCCAACAAACCTTACCCCATCACAAACAAAAAAAAAACTCTATTTTTCTTGCTTTTTTATTTATTTTTATTTTTCTTGATATGTTACAGTTAAGGACACATATTAAACCAATTTTCTTTTCTCAATAACCACTTCAATTACTAGTAGTAAAACCACCATTTCTCTTGGATCAGTTTTTTTTTTTTTTTGACTTTTTTTCTTTTCCTGTTCAATGGCCAGTCCGGACTTTATAACATGGATTGTGCCTATGGTGTCACCTGCCTCAGGTTGTACTAGGCTGTGATGGAGTTAACTCAGCCGTTGCAAAGTCATTAGGATTGAGAACTCCAAACTTTGATTCCTTTGCTGGTATAAGGGGATTCACAAGTTACTCAGGCAAGGGGCATTGCATTGGGAATCAAATAATCCGTCTTAAGAATGATGGTATCGTTGTTGGAAGGCTGCCAGTCGACCATAACTTGGTACATTGGTTCATAAGCAGGGCATGGGTTCCTCAAGGTAAGAAATGAGTAAGAATCTAAATATTCTTTCTTGTAAATTATCTAACAAAAAAGAGGAACACTAAAGGTTTTGGGTGAATTCCCGTAAAACTAAAGGTGCATCATGGCTGGAAAGAATAGTCTCGGTGATCAGCCAGAATTTCGCTGAAGTAAGGAGACAATATGACGCCATGCCCCAAGTTAAACCATCACTGGGTGGAAATTGGAAAATTACAGGGGGTTTCAGCTCTAATACTCCATTTCAGCAGATATCTTCCAGATTTTAAAGCAACAATGAGAAAAAAAAAAAATAGCAAAAACTACTAATAAAGTTTGCTTTGATGTAATGTCTTTGATTAAATGTCACTAGTCTTAATGTCATAATGGTTAGTCTATAGTCAATTTCATTGAGTCATGAGAGCCAATTGGCAATATACAACTCATTCAGAAGTTCAGATAACTAAAATCCCCCATAGAAGATCATCATCATCTAAGCCTTATCTCATGATTTGGGATCGGCCGTTTCAAAATTCACGACAAGATGTGACAAAGTTTTATGCTGATTGTTTACCTAACACAACACACATCTGTTACCCAGGCCTTTTTTTTTTTTTCAGGTAAAAAAAACCCAAAAAAAAAGAGCCATTGGGTTTGGGGAAAGCATTAAGGGAAAGTTTAAAGTCCTCTTCCTTATTAGGCCAAAATGTCCCCCTTAAAACAACAATATCCTCCTATTCTCCTTACATCATTGCGGCCTAACCATTCTAACTGTATCAAACAGATTGCGAGATTTCAAAGGAGCCCAAACTCATCAAGGAGGCAGCACTCGGAGCCATTTCCAAATTTCCAGACGAGATAACCGAAATGGTTAAAAGTTGTGACCAAAGTTGTTTGAGCCTCACACAATATCGGCCTCGGCCCCCATGGGAACTCTTGGTAAGGACATTGCACAAACACTCAGTAACCTTAGCTGGAGACGCAATGCATGCTATGGGACCATACACTGGTCAAGGATGTGCGGTAGGGCTCGAAGACTCTGTCGTGCTAGGACGGTGCCTAGGGTTAGCCATGCGTGGGTGCCACGAGGAGAGCGAGGATCAAACTAGGGTTAGGATCAGCATGGCTCTAGAGAGATATGTAAAGGAAAGGAAGATGAGAGTTATAAGGATGGCTAGCCAGACCTATTTAGTGGGCTTGCTAGCAAAGCCCTCCTTTCCTCCATTGAAGCTGGTTGTACTTGTTGTTTTGTTGCTTTTCTTTGGGGGTTTGCAAGGGGGCACTCAGTATGATTGTGGTACTCTACTCAGCCCAAAAAGTTAATCGTGGCAATCTCTTGGCATCATCTCAGAGGTTTTAGGTTCAATCGTGTTTTGTATCTTTTATTTTTCTTTTGGATGAGCTTGGGTGTGGCATAAGACTTGTTTTAGACTTGCTTCATGTACAAGAAAAGAAAGAAGAATGGGAATTGGAATTCAAATGATGAGCTGAGAATGTCAAATACAATAAAACACCCTATGCTGACACCGCTGTCTATGACAAAATTTGCTTGGTCCCCTAGATAATGGGATGACAAATGTCAGGCAGTTATTCCCTCAATTCCCACCTCAGTACAAGTTAGGGCAGAAGTTGGCTCTTTTTCCTCTTTCTGAATCAGCTGGAACACCTGTAGAATATCAAAATAATTTAGACCAAAGTTTGTCTAGGAGCATGTATGCTATGCTCTCGAGGGATATACTGTACATTTACTCCCTCAGTTAAAAAACCAACTTAAGAGGACATTTTTAATCTGAAATTGTGTGATCCACATTAGAATCACTAGGTAAGTACTCCCAAACAAAAACAAAAATTGGATTTTGAGCTCCTAAACACTTGGATCTGATCATCCAAACATAGGATGGTATTTGCTGAATATGAGAATGTTATTCTTTTCACGAACTTCCAAAGTGTGTACCATTTTTTCTCTTGTTCTTTTTCTTTCTTTTATTTTTTTTAAACATGATCACATGGTTGACGAGGTAACATTCTGAAATTTTGGGGTCCCAAGAATGCTCCAAGATAGGGTTTACCCGAGGAACCGAAATGCTCCCATGGGAGTGTAGAACTATTGCCTTTGTCTAAATTCCAAGATAGGTTTTACCAGAGGAACTGAACCTCCAAGATGCTCCCATGGGAGTGTAGAACTTTTGACTTTGTCTAAATTCTGGCTGAAATTCATCCAAACTCCGGTGAAAATTGGTCAAAATTTTGGTCAGAAGTTGGTATACTAAACAACAAAAACTTTCAAACCATAAATCTGTTTCATTTAAAATATGGTCGGGCCTATGTCTGCTGCAAAAACTAGGTTGTTGAAATGAATATTGCCAAATTTCACGTTTTGACTTCAGTAATCTTGAATGACTACAGAATTGTTATCACTAAATGTTCTTTGTCATGCATTAGGACATGACATTAGAGCTGATGCTGCACAATTATTCCCTTTAGTTTTGTAAATTTCTAGCAGTTTGAAAAAAAAAAAAAGGAATTAAGATTGAATGTAAGTATAAGTTTACAAAGCAATGAAGTTATAAATTAATAGGTAAAATATAAAATAGCTTAATTGTTTACAAAATATAAATAAAATTATAAATAAACAAAATGAACAAAATATTTTTTATAATTTATATTTCATTTATTATTGTGTTAAAACTTAATTTTGTAAACTTATACCTATATTCAAGTTTAATTCCTTTTGTCTTTTCAACTACATAAAAGTTTACATGAATCCTGAACCTCTGAATAAAATGGTGGAACATGACCCATGTAGCCGACCCCAAATAGTTGGGATAAGGTTTAGATGATAATGATGAACTGCTGGAAAGTTTACAAAAGCAAGGGAAATAATTGTGCAGCTTCACCTGTAATGTCATGTCCAAATGCATGACTCAAAACATTCAATAATAACAATTTTCTAGCCATTCAAGCTTAGTAAAGCCAAATCTTCAAATATAAAATGCTTCAAGTTGAAAGCTACACCATGAAGCCCTCTAGCAGCGCCCCAGACTCTACCATTTTTGTGCCATCCATGCCCATAAAAATTGAACTTGATGAGCTGTAGTGGGAACTTGGGATCACCATATGCCAAGATTTTATTATCTGACCCCAATTTTAGGTAAGATTTTAAGTTGACCATCCAAGGAATTCCTCGATATTCCTAGCCCAAAAAGTGAGGTAGCTTTAACCTTGTCAATTGAGGTCCCAACTGTTGTTACTTCTTTCCATGTTCTCTTGAATATCCTCCCGCTCCAACCATAGTAACCAAATAGTGGCCTGCAAAACGTTTCTAACCATATATAATGACCAGTAGTGTAAAACAACATGGTCCTTTTAGGGATCTCTTGGCATGGCTGACTCACGAATGGCAGAGGCAAGGTCCTGCTGGAAGGCATCAAGTTGTTCAACCTAATCGGAGACCAGCTCTTGAAGTAGGAAATTCCATCAGTGTCATCAGGCCGGCTTCTAAGAACTCCCCCATGGATGCATTCGCTCAAGAACAGAGCTGCTATTTATACATGTGTGTTGTGACCTTATGGCCAATTTTGTATAGTTGGCGATTCTTCCTCACAATGTAATTGTTTATGCTAAATCAATACACAGTCAACTTTATCAACAAAATGAAACTTAAATATTCAAAAAGTAGGATTTGTTAAAGTTCTTTGCTTATTTAATCTTAATCTTATTTTCTAGTTTTGATTGATAAGACTAGAGACGCCATAAACACAAAGTTATAACTTTGGAGGGATGCCTCATAATCCAAAGGTTTTAAAATTAGCCAGACTAAGATAGAATATACGAAGTGTAAGTATAATAATAACAGGAGCGGAAACAAGGAATTAATTAACATTGATGGCCAAGAAGTACCTAAAAGAGATTGTTTTTGATAAAATGGGTCCATGAGAGAGGAGAGATTGAGGAAGATGTTGCTCGTAGAATGAAGAGTTGGTTGGATGAAATGGAGATGTGTTTTTGAAGTCTTATGTGATTGTTGCACAATGAAATTGAGGGAGAAGCTCTATAAGACGGGTAAAACTAGCTATATGCTTTCTAGGATAGACTATTGAGTAGTCAAAAAACAGCATATGCAAGTGCAGCTGAGATGAGGATGTCGAAATGGATGAACAACAAGACACGGAAGGATAGTATTCAGAATTAATTCATTCAAGGGAACTTAGGGGTAGATTCAATAAGCGAAAAAATGAAGGAAATTAGACTTAGGTGGTCTAGTCATGCGCAAAGTCAACCTAAAACAACACCGGTTAAAAAGGGCGATTCGATTCAAATAGAAGGCTCTAAAAGGGCAAAGGGAAGAATAAAAGTAATGAAAAAAAATAAGGTAACTTATAATCATGGTGACTTATGGTTTGAATTGAGAATATAGCCCTTGATAGATCAGAATGGCATAATAAAATTTGTGTACCGACCCCAAATAGTTGGGATAAAGCTCAGATGATAAGGATGATGATGATCAATCTTAATCCTATATCCTGCTTGATTTCCTTTTTTATTGTCTACAGATTTTTCATGATATTTTGTCCAAAATAATAATAATTTCTATGAGAATCGCCCAAAAGTTTACCTCAGTACCCTAAGACAGTATCTCATGATGAATCAAAATAATTTGGATTAAAGTCTCAAAGACTACAATATGAAACATGTTTCATTTTTTGGAGTTTGAACTACGACATTTCATACCGTAGTCAACCACATCTTTTTCTTTTCTTTTTTCTTTGGAAAATTTCTCATCTAGGGTTTGAGCAGCCAGCTCATTCCGAAATATGGTTGAGATCTGTTCCTTTCAATTCAAATATATCAACTAAATTCTCAAAGGGTGTGTAATGGTAGGCCTTCAACAATGTTGGGGCATTTTAAGACAAATTTGTACTACGTAAGATCAATACAATAAAAGATACAACCAAAATATCACATCACCATATCTTTGCTTCTCACTCCATAAAATGCATCAGACGGAGTAACTCTTCTAGGTGAGTCTTAGAACCATAACCATTTTTGTTGGTTAGTAGACCAAGAAAGAATGAAAATGCTCATAGGGTTACCATTAAGCCATAGTATGTACAAGCAAGGTAAAATGTTCAAAGAAACACAAAAACAAGTTTAAAACTTGTTACGATGTTCAAAAGAGGTAAAAAACAAGAGCAAAATAATAAGAGTCCTCAATGTGAAACATATCTTCCAAAAATCAACAGAAATTAGAAAGCCATAGAAAGCAAGAATGACATATATACGATTGCAGACCAGACTTGTAACAGTAATAGTATTGCGTTCAATTGCTTCCACTAGTTAACTTCACAAGGATGGTTGGTAGACATTCCCATTAATTCAACTTCTTATCGATAGAATAAAGACTAGTTTGAGTTTTGAGGGACTTATTTCTTTCTATTTTCAGTTATGGGTTGATAACCCAGTGCATTAGAATAATAATAAACTGCAAAGGACAAGTGTCCCGACAATATAAGAAGCAGATTTCCCTAACACTTTACAAATACACAAATCCCTTACTTTGACCGATGAAACAAAACCCTCAAAACCCATCAAACCATGGGGAAAAGGACTAGAAATACTTTATGGAAAATCAAATTTAGATTCAACATACCATACTTAGATCAGTATTCTGAGAAATCAGGTATATATTAAAAATGTGCAATTATAGTTGTGGAAATCCTAAAGCATTCTTCAAGTCGCAATTCGGAAGCCTGGGATTATTTTGTGGCTCTCTAGTAATTAGTGGCCGATTATATCAAAATCAAATAAATAGTAAGAAGCATTTCACTCGCTAAATGTGGAATATACCAGGAAGGGTGCTGGAGCATATATTTAATTGCAATAATCTTTTAGGACCTGCCTGGCAAGATCCAGAGCCCCACTCCTTTTGTATATCAAATGGAGATTGTGAGCTGCTTCTTTATGAAGGTTAGAGTAACCCTCTTTTGGATTTTCTGAACGATTGAAGTTCCCATCAGGATGTTTTGGGCTGGGATAATCCTTTTCATAAACCTCAAGGACCTTCTCATAATATGAAACTGCCAGAGTAACAAGGCCTACATGCTGAAATGCCCTCCCAATGTTGTAGTTAGATTCCTGTAAAAGCCTTTGCTCGGTGAGCATAGAAACATTAAGAAATAGCATATGAGACCTAAAACAATTATTCATATTATAGCAAGAAACAAAAGCAATCTTTCATTACTGCATTGGAAGCAGTGGTTGCTGGAGGAAACTGCAATAAGTAATTGAAAAACTACTCTCACGTGATACCAGGTTTCCAAACTATGGTGGTACACAAATAGAAGCTCAAATTAGATCATTGGGATGAAACTAGTAGCCAACAAGGTTTACATAATACAAGAAAAAGTTACTAGGAAATGCATTTTCAGCAAGAAGGAAGATCAACTACCCATTGCAACAGATGAATTTTGGCCCCCATTCCAACTAGATGTAAACAACGCATCTTTGCATGGGACCATGAAGTAAGAGATATCCATGGACCCACCTCTAGGTTGCGCAAGAGAGAGAGAAAGACTCAGCATGCAAATTGGAAGGTGATATTTGGTCAAAGCAAGCATCCTGATTTTTTATGGAGAACTGCAGCAAGCTTGTAACCTCAGCTGGATTCAAAAGGTGCAGTAATATTATTTCTCAAGAGATGTGGCACAAGACCACAGTGCTCTACCCTATTTAGAGGACATTATTGTCTCATGCGGTGATCCTGCACTAAAAAAAGAAAGTAGAGACAATGAAGAAGGTTATAACTAAGGACCTCAGTAAATAGCATTATTTTTGTGGGACAAGTAGATAGGTCCAAAAAGTACATTTGCATCTTGCAAAGACAATGCACCTTGGATCTAATGAAGGAAACTGGGAAAAACACCGTTAAACCTATTGACTTGCCAGTGGTGCGCAGCTTGAAGTTCTTATCATAAGGGCCAGCTCATATCAAAGAGTTGCTGGTAGTCTTATCCATGAAATCATGTATGCAGTGAGAATAGTAAGTCATGCATACATGCGTGGGTGACATGAATGGCAAAGTATGGTATTTCAAAATGACTCCCTGAAAAAGGAATTTGTTTCTTTTGGATAAATAGTTCCCTGAGAAAAGAATATAAATGTCAGGAAATTGTTTTTTAGATTATCTGATTTTTGACAGAACTAGGAACCTAAAGGACAGAAAACCCATGCCTTTTTCCAGCTCCTTGGTGGAAGTCCAATGACTTGGAAAAGCAAAACTCAGCAGTGGAAAAATCCAATGTTGAGGCTTTAGCTCATAATCTGGTACATGCCAACAGGATCTATAACTTGTGAGAGTTTGCTTGAAGGCTTTATCATGCAATCTGGGCAAAAAAGTGAAACAGGCCAACTTAAAAGACAAATTATCCAAGATATATGTACTTCAATAATCAGGTAGCCATCGATATAGCAGTAAATGTGATTTCCATGAGATGGCATACAGCACACTGAAATAACTCTCACTTTGTTAGGGAGAAGATGAGTTCTGAAGTAATCTGTACTCTACTAGTGAAGACTGAATATCTTTTTCCTCCTCTTTTTTTTTCTGGCAAGGTATTTCAGCAGTAAGACTCAAAATTGGGACATGGTGTGGCAATCACATTGATGCGAGGAGCTTGGTTGGACCCCATAAATGTCATTCTGGAGCGCATAGGAGCCCAATTGGAGCTCGCTCCCCCATCAAGGATCTGGATATCTTATAGGGATCAATCACTAACTAAACGGGATCTTAATATGAAGGGATCTTGATCTCACAGAGAGTTCTAAAAAAAATTTAATTTTGAACCTGGTGTCTTTAATTTTGTCCTAATCTTTTTGTTTTCCGAAGATTTTTGAACCTGGTGTCTTTAATTTTGTGCTAATCTTTTTGTTTTCCGAAGATTTTTTTGCTAATGACCACCTTTGACAATATTTATTTTCCATTTTCGTTTCGTGGTTTGCATAAACATTACAAACCAGCAAACCGACTCGGAATCAGCCGAGTGAGCTCCGACTTGGGGGGTCCCCAACCCCAAATATTTCCAAACTAGGGAATCTCTTGAGATGTCCAAAATCGAGTCATTCATTGTAAGTAATCGCCCAGTTCACCATTGGGGAAATGGCAATTTCTGAGTTCAGTACTTATCATGACCTTACAGTATTGTTTTACTCAAATTTTTATGGGACTTTCAGGCTATTTGAGTTCTCATAATGCATGTATATATATGACGCAAAAAAAGTGGACTATACATTT